AACTGGTTTATTAAAACCATTTTATTAAATCCGGATTATCATAGTTGAAAAATCAGAACTGGTTTTATATTAAAATTTGGGTTTAAATTCGATTATGTTGAACCGGTTCCAACCTCTAGAACCAGTTTTATTAAATCCGGATTATCAAAGTTGAAAAATCGGAACCGGTTTTATATTAAATTCGGGTTGAACCAGTTTTAATTCGATTGTGTTGAACCGATTCCAACCTCTAATTGGTGGTTTCCAAACTTATTTTATAATCTCGAAAAGAATCATACGTTGGTTTTGATCTAGTGGTTAACAACTTTTTGGATAGACCTATAAAGTGACTTTAAAATCAAAATTATGAGTTTTAAGAAAATCAATATACATATATTTATTGATATCCTTATTAGATTCTTTAAATCGAGTTTTAGTTATAGAAGTAGTAATAGATAGATATGTTGAAATTCTAGAAAAAGTGGATGGCTGTGATTAAGGTTGCTGGACAAAATCAAGAGTTTAGACAGACGTCTAAATGGTAAAAGTACAACTTGGTTAAATTATATTAAAACCTTATTAAAAAATTTGCGAAATTTTGAAAAAGGTAAAACTATATCAAAGCTTATAAAAATGGCGAAACTATATCAAACACTTAGTAAAAATTTAGCGAAACTAAAGGTTTTACCATTTTTCCAAATCCAAAATGAGTTTAGACAAGCAACCTTAGCTGTGATGATGAATATATTGAGATTCTAAGAGAAGCGGATGGCTGCAGTGATGGATGTGTTGAAATTCTAGAAGAAGTGGATGACTGTGGTGATAGATATGTTGAAATTTTAGGAGAAGTAGATGGCTGCAATTAGGGTTCCTTAAAATCGAATCGAATTAAATATTTAAGCAATTTGAATTCGATTTGATTTTTCAAATCAAATCAAATCAAATCAAATCAAATGTAAAAAAATTTTTTAATTTTTACAATGATATATTAATATAAAGGTTTAATTAAGAAAATTATTAGTAATTGCACTAAAAAATTTCAAAAATAGCTTTTACAAAGTAAGTTTAGTAACAGGTGAATTTTTACTATTAAACTTAGTAAAATAACTCTGCAGTCTCAATTTTACTAAGAAAATTTAGTAACAACCACCATCGCGGCTTCAGTTTTACTAAGAAAACTTAGTAAAAACCATCATCGCAGCTTTAGTTTATTAAGAAACTTAGTAATAACTGCTATTACAGCTTTGGTTTACTAAGAAAACTTAGTAATAACTGCTATTGCAGCTTCGGTTTACTAAGAAAACTTTCGGTTTTACTAAGAAAACTTAGTAAAAATCGCCATCTCGGCTTCGTAACCATTTTATTATTAAAAAACATTTCCGAAGCCACGGAGGCGTTTTTTACTATATTTTCTTCTCTAAAAGCCGTGAAGGCATTTTTTACTATGTTTTTCTTAGTAAAAAAGACATTTCCAAAGCTGCAGAGGCACTTTTTACTATATTTTTCTGAGTAAAAAAGTCATTTTCGAAGCTGCAGAGATACTTTTTACTATGTTTTTCTTAGTAAAAATTACTTCTGAAGCTTTTGAGATGACTTTACTATTGATTCGAATCAAATCAAATATTTAATTACTTGATTTAAATTTGATCGAATTGAATCAAACATTGATTTTGATTTGATCAAATAAATCATTCTTTGATTTGAATTTGATCAAATCAAATCAAATACTAATTTAAATTTGTATTTGATTTGATTTTCAAATCAAATATTCAAATATCAAAACGAATTGTAGAACCCTAGATGCAGTGATAGATGTGTTGAAATTCTAGAAGTGTATGGATTTCTTGAAGAAATCCTAGGAGAGGAGTACGTCCTTCAAATAGTCGAAACTTTAGCTGGTTTAAACAAATTCATTTAATATATACTTGAACAAATAAAACAACAAAATTAATTCAAATTTACATTTTCCTCTTATGGATTTCTTTGTTATTGAGGTACTTTCCATCATTATATTAACTATATCATAGTTGATTTTAATCATTTTATGATTAAAATTACAAGATTTTTATAAAGTCAAAGAACTTACGATCCTTCATGAATTTGTAATTTACATTGTTTAGTAATAGAAGAATCGTTATTTAGTAAAAGAAGGATTGTTCGTGGGAAAATGAGAGAATTTTTTTTAATTTAATTCAAGCCTTAAAAATAGATTAAATAATCATATCAATATGATTGTGATTATATAAGCATAATTTCAGAGTTGATTCTAAAGTTAATTGTATTGATATAATGGCACGTGATTCAAAATCAATTTATATATTAAAAATAATAAAAATTATTGATAAATTAAAATATTTTAAATCGTAAACTGAGATATGTTAAAAAAATCTTACAAATCATAAACTGATGGAGATCACCCATAAATTAATAAATCAAAAAAATTACAAGTTATAAAATAAATGATTGTAAATCTTTAATTTAACCACCTCTTATTTACCAATTCTAATTCTCACACTTCCTAGTACTTAACAATATATATACTCTTACTATTCATCACAATTTTCTTACAAACTTATAAACAATTTAAAGATTAATTGTACATAATGAGTTTGTGATATTCTTATGAAGAATGTGATCGTATCTTTGCAAAACTATAGGGATTGATACAACATATTCAATATCACCATCCTTTTATAGAAAATGAGCAAGAAGAAATACAAAATAATATTAATAATAATGATACAAAACTTTTTCAAAATGACAATTTATTTGAGGAATTGAACTTATTTAAAAAAGACTTACATCGAGTTAAATTAACTAATCTTATTAATATCAAGATAGGTTTTAAATCAAATAATATTTAATATAATTATCAATTGTGTCTGTTACTGACCTAATATATAAATATATATTAAAAGAATACAAAGAACCTTTCAACAGATGAAATTATATTAAAAATGCAAATCTCTCCTGATTCTCCTTTGTTACAAGAACTTGATCATGATAAAGTTACAGATAATATAAATGATAATGATAACTTTACAGATGACTCAGATATAGAAATCGATTCAGTAGACTCTAAAGATTTTCATGAAGCTAGTTTCAATGACGCAATAAATGATACAATTGAAGAGTACATTCCGCAATGGCTCAACGAGACTTATCAAGAATTCGCGAAAATATGTGTCAATTTTGAACTATCAAACCAAGCAATTGATTCGCTTATTTACATTTTCAATAAAAACGCAAATTTTGAAGAATCACTTTTACCAAAGAATTCTAAAGCGATGCATGGTTTTATGAATTCAATAGTAGCACTGAACCTTGATTTTAAAAAGAAACATATCATAAATTTTGAAGATATTTCATACATTCTTTATTACCGTCTAATAATAAAAGCAATTAAAGCACTTCTGCAAAAACCAGATATAATTCGAGATTTTGCATTCCAATTTAAAGAAATAAGAAAAAGAAATGTAGTATGTAAGTTTTCATTGTTTATAAATAATTAACTACATTTAAATCATAATTACTTATCCTTAGTATATTTATAGGATGGTGATTCTTCTCGTATTTTTGCTAATGAAAAAGAAACAAAAAGGATGCTAAAGTACTACTGGGCTACTTACCAATTCTTCGAAACAAATACCAAATAATTAGAAATTCAGAAATCTTTCGAAGGCTTTCACGTAGATTTATAAAAAGATGTTAAAGCATAATATTACGTCCTATTCTGAAATTTGATGAAATGGAACTAACGGTTAATGGTATACAAATTACTTTTGTTCCAAGAATCTCTATATTTATTCGGGATATGCTAGAAGCCAATGTGATAACAAATACTTATAAGTTGGCTAATTGTAAAATGCTATGCCCAAATTGTATAGTGTTATTCGAAAACTTAAATAATATGAGTCTTTCAAAAGAAGATATAACCTTACGAATGCCTAAATTAATGGCTTTAGCAATTTAGAAAGGGATGGCTCATGATTATTCGATATATAACCAAAAAAATATATTTTGGGATTTTCCGTATGTGTATATAAAAATCCGATGATCTGAATCGATTGCTATATTATTTTAATTATATTATTTATTATTAATTATAAATTAAATATATATGAAGCAGTTTTATCTGATCGAATGCATCACTTAGATTTAGGACTTTTCAAATAAATGCTGGATTATATGCAAGAACTTTTGAATGAATAATGTGAAAATTGAGCGATTGATGAGTTCAATAATAGACTAGCGGCAATTTCAAAATTTACTGAGTTAAAAATCTTCAATAATAATATTACTACTGTAAAAATAGCCAACGAGTATCGAATGATAATAAAAGTAATAATCTCGATACTTGATGGTTTATTTGACCACGTATTAGAAAATAAAATCATAATAGCAATCATCCATATATATCTTCAGTTTAATTAACTTGTGTATTTCTTTCATTTATTCGCATGTATATGATAAGCCGTAAAGAGGAATTTTCAGAAGATGATCTAGATGAATTTGAGATAAATGATGATGAAATATTTTTTTACGAATAATATGATTTTATTAAATAGTATACTTATCTTTGTAGGATTTAATTATAACATGGAGTCATGAATTCATAACCATATTTTCCCAATTTAGTCCAAATAAGTTGCATTTGCCAAAATTATACTCTTGGAGATATTATATTATTCCTGCTATTCGTCAATTCAGAGCAATCAATGGATTCACAACAGAAACCTATGAGATTTTACATAAGTTTTATGTCAAGAACCCTTATTGAAAAAGTAATAAGAAGAAAGTTATGGATCAAATCCTAAATAAAATAATATATTTTTTTTAGATTCTGATCAAAAACTCTATAACTATATACAGTTAATAAATTACTTAACTTTTAGGTTCAGCAAAAAATGTTAACAGAAACTGTGAGTTATAATAGAATAAGAAAAGGTAGATTATTGTTGGAAAAACTTCAAGATATATACTTATCATCATTCGAAGTCATTTGTAAGTTTTTTGACAAATAAAAACAATAGATCCAGTGTAACTTGAAGGAATTGAAAATTTACTCACATCTATAGACACTTTTCTGGACAACACGTCTATAACATTTCTTAATATAAATGAGAGTTTTGTGTGATTATACAAAAATGCAACACTACAATCAATCGATATTATACGTGCTGATCTATCTTATAATAATGCTTCATAGTTTAGCGATGTTGCTGTTGTAATAGATACAGAAGAAGCTACTAATTATATTACAGATCAAGAAACATGTTTTAGAAAGGTTGGCAAATAAATTGATTCATTGTTATTATTGTAATTAAATTCTTTATTATTATTATAGAATATTTTATATTCCTATAACCAGGTATTACTATTAGGAGAATGATTTGCTAACAACTCGTATAACATTGCTTTCGCAATGATAAAATTGTATGATTATTGTGAGCCAAACAAAAGGTATCACAAGGTATCAGAAATTTATGGATGTCTTCAGCTATCAATATTAAGATTATAATGTAGTACCGTTAGATTCCATAATGCGAACTGTTCATATTATACTGAAATTTCATAAGAAAAACCAGTTCCTGGTAAACAGATATATTTTTTAACGAGTTATAAAAATTTTTAATAAGAAAGTAATAAATGAAAAATATGTGATCAAATAAATTATATTTAAACCATTGATCATCACAATCACGTATTTATATATTTTTTAAAATATATATTACCAGTTATTACATGTATTTGGTAAGCTTTGATAAACTCCACACATGAAGTAATCTTTTTAGATAATAATTATCAAAGATCTTCAAAACTAAATATAAAAGCATTTTTTAGTATGTAAATTTATCGGGTATTATATAATTCTAAGTATTTTGATAACAATCATCTGATTTGATCTCCTGATATAACTTCAGAAAATTATGCTTTACAGCAATGCTATTTTCCTTCTAAAAAAAGGAGGAAGAGCTTTTTGCATGCAAAATATTATTATGCATCCTATAAAATGATTTATGCCTTAAGTTTTTACAGTTATGTGAACTTTTATCATGATTTTTTATTAAAATACTTGTGATTCAAAGTTTATATTTACATATTTCTTAGTTATTACTAATTGGAATTTGAAAAAATATAAAATATATATTTATATTTACAATATTATATTGTGCTATAAAGCAAGTAGTATTAGTAATGCTTGAATATTAGAGTTTCAAAATTCAATTTGATATTTAAATATTTGATTTGAAAATCAAATCAAATTCAAATTCAAATTTATATAACTACCACCTAAGATATGTGTTTAGTATGAAAATATGATAATTTCTGCACTTATTCTAGGATCAAAGGTATCAAAAAACTTTAATTCATTTTTACGATCACTGGTTGATGAGTTAAAATAATTATATAATATTATAATCAATACATTTATTTATTTATAATATATTACTTACTAACTTGTTTTAATAAATAGAAGGTGGTCAGTAGAAAAAAGGGAAATCCAAAATTTTTGTTAATTTTAATTATTAAGCTAATTTTGTGTATATGACCGAGATCAGCCAAGTGGTTCAATAATATAAATTTTGATCAAAATTTGAATTTCTCTCTTTTCTACTGACCGCCTCCCAAATATAGAAGGAATCTGATGTTTTGATAGTTTGACAGAAAGTACATTCACACTTTATACTCATATTCTAAGTTAGTCTGATAATATTCTAGCATTTACCAAGATTATATACATAATTCTTATAAAGCTTTCTGATTTTGCTTTATCTTTGAAGTATATAATCAAGGAAACAAGCATGTATATTATTCACTCAAGCTCTTAGCTAGTGAATTAGAAAAATATTATGATCCTGAAAACCTTCTATTAAAAATATATAAAGGTTATATGCAAGATGTTATAGCTATAGAACTTGTAAATAAATTATTACGTAAATATGAAATACAAAAAAGAAGTAAGTAATCAATTTTGAAAATGATACAAAATTGCAAATAAATTCTATAATTTTTCCTTTTTTTAGGTGTAAATAGTCAAAGTATTTTGTTTGAGCTTAAATCAATAAAGTTTCCAACTTCATTTCCTGTTGATATTATACATGAATTGTTTAAAAATATTGCATCAGCAATGCTTTGACACTGGACTAGTACTTTCTTCAAAGAAAATAAAGATAATAATTATGATCATATTCTTTCTAGTAAAATTTGGGAAAAAATTGAAAATATAGTGGAGAAAAATAAAAAAAATATGCCACTGGATTTTGAGCGTTCACCTATTGATATTCAATGATATTCAGCTTTATTAAAAGCAGAATATTGGTCAAATTGAATGATTTTATACTTACTCCCATTATTACAAGATTATCTTTTAGAAATATATGTATTTTAATATAAATAATCATTATTTTTCAAGTTAAATCTTTAATATTTTAAGATTAAACCAGATATATAAATGGATAGACCAAATTCGTGTATGCTGTAAAGCTTTGTCTCAAGAAAACTATTATTATAACAGAGCTAACAGAAATTAACTAACTTTTTTGTGAATTTGTTACACATTATAAATGTTAGTCAAAATTTTTACATAATATTTCTTATTAGTCATTTTATTAAATGAATTCTATTTTATCAGAGAATATATTCAGAATAATTCCAGTCAGATTCCAGCGGCACTTATTTCTTATCATTATTTGCTGCATATTGCTATTTCAATTTATAATACTAGACCTGCATAGGCAACTTGGCAGTATCTGATGAAAAGATTATGTGGAATGCTATTACCTCTTGTGCATTCTAGACAGCATTCCTACATAAACCTTAAAAATCAAATTACCATGTGGGTTCAATTTTTACATCTCCAGTATAAAAGTAAAATAAAAAAAGAAGATTTTTGGAAATAATTTGGAAAGAATATTGGATTATTCTGAAAGAAACTTCTTTACTGTTGATGGTGCTAAAGAGAAGTTACTTTCAATATCATGTAGATATTGCATGAATAGGTCTGAAATGCAACGTCTCAGAGCTTATTATATTACAATATTGGACATACATACTAACCAGCTTGCAGTAAGTTAAAACTATAATGTTATAATCTTTAAAATATAACTAATACTTTATTAAAGTCAATTATAGATTCTGTTTAAAAATATGGAAAACTTCAAATAAATGGCAAACTAGCAATTAATTCAAAGCTATCTAATATGATGTAGCACACACAAACTTCTGCATTGTAATATGTATATTACTTACTCCAGATGCCCAAGTATTCTATTTTAACTAAATTCTTTATTTAGGCAAGCTTTTGGTTGATCGAAATGCTCATCGTAAAAATGTTCTGATCATTCTAGAAGAACAGGAATTCTTTGGCGAAGTACAATATTATTTTTCGTACTAATATAATGGTTATTGGTCTATGCTAGCATATGTACAATTGGTTCGCAATCCCTAATCAATCTTCAGGCCACAGATCATTATATTTTCAGGACCTTGGCGCATTTGAAGTAATTAATGTTAATGCAATTGATAGAAAAGTTGGATTTTTCAAAATATCAAATAATAAATGATATATCATTGATAAAGAGAATAAAATTAGGTTTCGATAACATTCTGTGCATAGTATGTTTTCTAATTAAAATGGGCCTTGAAGGCCTTACATGCTTCGCTAAATAATATCGGTAAACTGATTTCATTTTTCTCAAATTACCATTATATATATATGCTATATATTACTTGCGGTTATATTATATGAATTTTTGTTATTTATAAAATGTTAATTTAATTTGTTAAAGAATTTCATTATATTCTCCGTATTTATTCTATTTATTCTGTTTACTGATTTATATTTCAGTAATTAAACATGGATAAAATCTGGATTGCATATTCATCTAGTTTTTGCGCCTATAAAAATACACTGAACATTTATGACTCAAATACATAATTACGGATAATGATTCAAACTCGATTCTGAAAATAATCATTAATTTTTGTTCAAGTCGTTGATAAATAATAAATGCCAACAATTGACAATAACAATCAAATTTCATGAAATACTGTACTATTAATACCAGAAATTTTGTTAGCGAGTATCTCCATCATACCTTAAAATTTATTAAGATCATGGTTCGATTTGATGTTGATGTTTAGGTAATTTTCATTAAAATTTATTAAAAAAAAATCAGAAAACTTAATATTCTAGATGCATAACAAAAAAAAAAAAATAATGAAATTTAATTATTTTTAAATAACGAATTTAAAAAGTTGTTTAACAAAAAAATCACGTCTTGATTTAGTTTCGGACGTTAAAAGTTCCTGTTTACCTAGTAATATAGTAACAGAAAAACTTTAACTTTATTGCTAATTATAATATAAAAAATGATAAGGGGGTGTGGTGTGTTTTATTATTGGTATAATGAAATTACTGTATGCTGGCAATGACTACATCACTATTAGAAAACATGAATCTCCACTTCAAATATGTCTTTTTTCTTTTTTTCCCTTATATTTTCATATACAGATTATTTTATGTGTAGAATATATTATTATTATTAAATATTAAAAATGATGTCTATTAATATCTCGCTAGTCGCAGCAAAAATTTGAAATCG